GTGGTGTAGCATTTTAACCCGGCGGCCGCTGGGCCTCCGCGCCACCCGCCGGCCGCTGGGGGGGGGGGGGGGGCATAAAGTTGCCCCCCCTTTACTTCTGCGACGATATCGTCGCAACGCGAAGAGATAGAGAAGCGAAACTTTGCACACATCTTCCTGAATACCTGGCCGAGGTTGTGTCCAAATTTGGTGTCGATCCCATTTGAAATGACGTCACAGTGACGTCATAAGTGAAATTATAGATTTGCGACTCTCATATTCCTCACGATACATCACATATATGGGACCGAATATAAAGGGCCGATTATTGGTCAGAAACTAGATGGAAGTGTAGTAAGATGTTTTAGGATGACAGCAGGTGCTGTCTAGTTCATTTACAGTCGAGTTTCATGCTCAGCGTCATCAGAAACGGTCCATATCGGAAAACGACAAAACTTTATGACGTCACTGTGACGTCATCTTAGATGTTACAACCACCAAACTTTCCTCAAACATTGCCTAGGTATTCATTTGAAGGTATGCCAAGTTTCACGTTCGTAGCTCATCAGGTTTCGGAGATATTTCACAAAACGTAAAGGGGGGGGGCAACTTTATGCCCCCCCCCCCCCAGCGGCTCGTGGGTTAACATTTACATTGTTTCGCTCGTCAAGCGAATCCAAGCTGTCTCTCACCGTGGGCATGCCGTTCACTCCTCAGCAGACACCATGTGATCCTGTGGCTACAGTTAGCCCACACCGTGCGCTGAGTCGCTCAATGGGTCCGTGATCGAGGTGTCTGATGGAGCTGCCACCCCAGCTGGGGGTCGTCACCGCCTCACACCACGCCTATTTGTTCAGCCCGAGCACGGCTGTACCGGCGGCTCCAGGGAGGGGAGAAAGGCTCCCGGGGAGGCTAGAGCGACTCCCTGGGAGGGCTCGACGGGTTCCACAAGCTGTGAGACTCCCGGCGAGAGCTCGCTGTTAGCTCGATGTTGGTGGGTGGCTGGCTAACTGGACGAGAAAGGTGCTGAATTGCTTGGGGAAAAGTAGTTGTGGGGTCCTGGGTGCTACAGTTAGCCTGTCGTCATGTTGCTTGAGTGAATCGATGTTTGTGTGCTTTTCAATAGGTAGGGAAGACCCGGGAGGTATGGGCCGGTTTTGTGAAAAGGCAATTTTCTTCCAGTGGGCAGTGGCTACACCCGGTTTTTCACCCTGTGCATGTGAAATTGCCTTTGGCCTGCAACGTGTGCCTGACATTAGGCATCTGGGACCAACTATTTTGTCTCCAGATAACTTCCAATAAATCATATGCTTTTTCGATCCATCAAAATACACCGGGAGGTATGGGCCATGGCCCAGGAGGTATGGGCCGGTGCCATGTTTCATATTCTTTTCTCGACAATGAGAATATACTCGTAGCTGGTACTCGTACCTTGATCTCTCTTAGAGCCCAGGAACCGCATAAGCGGCCAACAGCTTACTTCATGGAGGTCACTTGGGCCCATATGTATTTTGGTAAACTCAAGCATGCATCATGAAATAAGATCAATAATATTTTTCTGTTCGAATGAAATTTGAAGTTAAATTTTCGACCTTGCGCGACAAAAATAAAACTTGTTGACGGGGACATTCAATGAAATCAACATTTTTGTTTATTTAGGATCAACGGGGGTGGGTGGCCCGAACCTCCCGGTTAGGACGCCAGAATGTGCGTGGCATCTCAGCTCATAATCTTGCAAGAAAGCTTCAAATTGTCTATCCAGTCTTAATTTGCATGCTTAAAACTTTATGTTAGTGATGGTCTGACATAAAACGAGCCTGGTTCAAAGTTATCACGAATTTTCTGAATGTACCGTATTTTACTCGAAGTGGGCAAAAACGCTTTATCACCGCTCATTCCCAAAGAAGACTGAGGAAGATTTTGAAAATCACGTGGGATGTATATTGTATAAACGGAATGGCTGCTACCAGTTAACTCCATCAAATGTGTGAAAATACGCAACATTTCTTCAAAACTGCGATGGCCCATACCTCCAGGGGGCCCGTACCTCCCGGGTCTCCCCTATAGATCATGACGTCAATTCGTAGTTCTGGCTACGTTGATCATCAGTTTCTGCCCTCATTGATGTATACTTGCTTTCTCCAGTGAGAAAATGTGTTGGTGAATTTCCCATGCTCTGGTGTTGTCATATCTCCGCAATCACCGTCGACGGTGACGTATGGCTCCGATACTAAGCCTCATTATTGGTCCCGATCTGTTTGCTCTGACCTGCGCACTGTGCGCTGATTGGTGCACGGCTGCTATTGATCGCACCGGATCTGGTGACGTAAACAGACGGCTATTGCAGCGTTTTAATGAGGCTCTCGACAGCACATGCTAACAGAAATGCACTTTTTCTAATGAAGGTCTTGAAATCGCAGATCGGATGAAGGATACTCAAGAAACTAAAGGAGTCTTCTTGTATCATTATCCTTTTGATGCGTTTCTAGATAAATTCGAAGCTGCAAATAAAATCTGGCACCTGATAACATTCGGTGATCATTGGTTTAACCCGCGCCCCAGTGGCGGTCTCAGCCAACTTCGCCCTAGTGAGGGGGGGCATATGTTACCACCCACCTCTAACTCAAAAACTAAGAGGGCTAGAAAGACGCGGTAAAAAGCAGTCGATAGCTCTCATTGCGTACGTTTGAAAGTATTTCGGTCATTTTTCACCTTAGAACAATATTGGGGTCACCAGAGGTCATCAAAGGTCAAAATTTGCCAATTGTCATTATATTTTTCAGAAAACATGCCGCTATCTCAGGAACTATGGTAGCTAGAAAAATGCATTAAAGAGCAATCGATAGCTTTTGAACTCTTCTTTTGACAAAGTCATTATCAATATTGACCTCAGGTCAACGGTTTAGCCTCCAGAGGGCAAAAACTCCAAAAATAGCTGTTTTTACGAAAAGTGTTTTTCGACAATAACTTTCGACTACAAAAAGCCACGACATTTCTATTGCCAGAATCGTGTTCCCCTCGCCGAGACGCGTCGAATGAACTATGATTTGACCTTGAAAGGTCAACTTGAAAATTTGACCTCAGGTCAAGGTCATGACCTGACCGGAAAAGGTCATGTTGCATATCAGTCGATGCGTCTTAACGAGACAAACACAATGAGACCATCCCCAGCGTTCTATCTCTTTCCAATCGCGAGTTATTGGCAAAAAAACTGTTTGTAGCCTCAAATGACCTCGGATGACCTTTGTAGAGGCTATCAGCAAAAATGACACCTTGGTCATCACGAGTGGACTAAATCATTGTGATTCTGAAATATTTGGACTGTTCCTATGCGTACACACGGATCTAGAGGCATTTTCATTTTTCTCCATTGACTTGTAATGGAAAGGTCACGCCACTGACCTGACCTTAGGTCACGGATATAAAAAATCCGAGATATACAAATTGTAGGCGCCCATAACAGCATGCAATCCACGAAGTTTAAAACCTTTCTGACAAACACTGCAGGCTGGACATGATTGCAAACTTTTTTTTAGGCTTGGTCAGTTAACTTGACCTGGTGACCTGACCTAACATGACCTGGGGTCAAAAATTTCACACATTGTCCAAAATTGATGTACCAAAAGCTACCCCAAGCGGCGCGGCGCTACGCGCCGCGGTTTTTTATTCACACGCGAAAAACACGACAGGGTGGTAACATATGCCCCCCCCCCCCCCACTGGGGCGAAGGTTAAGATCTTAGTTACCACCACCAGCATCATTCATCATCACAATCATGGCTCTCAAAATAAGCAAAAGAGAGTCGTTGTATTAGGCACTCTTCAGCCTTTCCAACCGGTTTGTATATTTGTCTGGTGTTTTTGCTCCTCTTTTTCCCACCCAAAAACTATTAGCCAGCCATGGTCAGACCTGACGTAAACCATGCCATCGACCACCGGTACTCTCGCTGCCAGCGACTCTGTCTGCCCTGACCCTTGGCTGGCGCCCATACCCCTGGCACGTGACACAAGCTTACATCATGCCCCAGCGTGACCATACGCCCCCCCCCCCACGCGGTCAGGAGTTCATTCATGTTTTTACCCTGGCTCGCTCCCGTGAGAGCGGTGGTTGTTTGAGCCTGGCGGGCTAGCTGCCACTGTGGCGTCATGATGAGCTGCCAAAGCTCCATGAATGGACTGAACGCGAGGTGAAACGGTTACGAAGGTGGTTTTGATTGTGAATGAGTTGTAATGAGTTCGGCTGAAGCTAGCTGATGTGATTGTGGTCGATTTCACGATGCAGAATAGCCCACCGATTTATACAGAATCGGTGCTTCAGAATTGGTAAATGGTACAGAATTTGAACTCAAGCCAGCAAAACTCTCTTGATGTTTATTTTTATGGCAAATGCGTGGTGTTTATTAGACTTCCAAGGTGAGACCTGTCTCCGGTGACTTATGATGCCATCGTCTTTTCAAGAGAAGATCCACGTTGTGTTTATGGGACGTCTATTGGTTTATTTTCATTGTATTATTTCCTATATATCCTTTCAATATATATTCCTCTGTGCTGCCTCTCCTCAGTCCTCCCGAAAATGGTGATTTTTGACAAACTTATTTTGAGGAGAACGCAAATGTCCTCTTTTAATATCCTTATTTTATACAAGGACCATGTAACAACTTTCGTCATAAGCGGTACTCACAGATTAATTAAAATCACCCGCGTCCTCACTGATCGGTTGTACAACCCTCATCGGTTGTAGCCCGCGCCCCCGCTGACCGCTCGCCTCTCACCGGCTGTCACCCCGAGTCCGTCGTTGCCGTCGGTATAGTTCCCGCTCCGGCCACCTGGCGGCGCTGGTGGCGCTGGCAGTCAGGTGACGGCTCCGTTTATATCCTGACTGGGGTGTCGGACGGCCCTGGTCCCCTCTCCCCTCCCCAGCTGAGGGCGGGCCGTCGACAGCCAGTGTGACCTGAACGGTGCCGCGGGCGGTTCGGGCCGCCGGAGAGCGAGCTGAGGACTGTGCCCGGTGAAGGGGAGCGCCCTCTGGTGCGGGGAGTGGCGATACAGCGGGAAGGAGTTCAGACTGGCGACCGGTGTCGACCCGGGGGATGGCCGGGACGCGGCCATGGCTCAGCCAGGTAGGCCGACAGTGGTAGCCAGAGAGTAGTGACTTGTGTGGGAGGCCAACAAAGGCTTAGCCAGGTAGGCAGACATTGGTGATCGGACAGGGAGGTCAGTTATTACCGGTTTATGGGGTCAGAAGCGCAGTCGGGTGGTTGTGTGTGAGGTCAGTGGCCCAGCCAGGTTGGCAGACGCTGCTAACAGGCAGGGAGAATTTAGTGGTGACCTTCGAGTGGGTCTTTGGTGACGGGTCAGAAGAAGTCAGTGGTGACCGGTATGGCAGGTCAGCGGTGACCGATATTGAGGGTCAGTAGCAAAGTGGTGGCCGGCATTGAGAGTTCAGTGTTGACCGGTATGGTATGCGAGGTCAGTCGTGAGCTGGAGGAGCGGTGTTTGAGGTCAGCGTCGCGGCCATGAAGTCGGCCGGGCACCGGTGACCGGTATTTGATGCCGATAGTTGGCTGGGTTTCTGACAGGGCCGGTCGGCGACGCCAGATTCAGGGTCGTCTATTTCGACCACGGTGAGCCTTGCTGTCCTTGTGGAAAACCCCTGTATAGACCACGGGAGATGTCCTGCCAGCGTCAGAGGGCAATCTCACGGAGTTTGCTACCACATTCCCCCGCTAATCTCTGGCTGGGGTCGTGATGGATGTGTTTGAGGGTCGACTTCTCCCATTAGCTCGGAAGTCTACTCGAGACGACGGAACGGAATGCCAATTCCGAGGACGATACCGCAGACTTGCCGGAAGACACAGCACAGAGCAATCGACGTGGGGCGATTTGCGATTGGCGAGTCGCTATCCTCGTCTGGATGGGTCAGGTCAGCGTCCTCTCCTCGTTCAATTTACGACATCAATCTGTCAGCTATCTATCGCGTCATCTCTCATGCGTTCAATCATCTGCCAGATGACTGGTGAGGTTCTGTCATGTCTCCCATCTGAGGGATCGGCTCGCAGCCCTTCCCCCTCCCTGACTGGTGTTACTGATGTGAGAGTCATGAGCCGGCTTGAGATGCTTTTATTCTGAACTGATGTTCATAAGTAACTCTAACCCCATGCTTGTGTGGTACAAGATAATAATAGAAATATGAGAACACAAGATGAACTAGTAAGCACACGTCGGGCCGTTAATATTTACATACACGAACACTTCGGAATCGATCACCCCACGGTTCCCGTGTCCTGTTTGCCCAGTCCGTAAGGCTGCTGTGCTAGTTAGCAGCCGTGCTATGGCAGGCCGCCACCGCCCGTCACAGGTCCGTCACACACCTGTCGCCACGCGCGTGACGCCATGTCACGCCCGTCACGTGTCACGCGCTGCAGACGATCGTGTCGTGACCCCGAACGGTGCCGGCAGAGGTACCCGTCATGGATCACGAGCGGAACATTTTTCATTTTTATTTGTGTTCTGTCTTGTTTCATTGCAAACAATTTGTTTGTCTTGTCATAGAAAAGGCTGAATATTGTACATATTTTACCACTTCTATGCCGATTGACGAATCTCAAATTCCCTAGTTCTCCTTACCGGCCACTTTCCGGGCTAGCTGTGACTGAGTTCTCTCACATACAAACCCAAGGTAATACCCAGCACCCACACCTCTGCCAGCCTTCTCTGACCTCGGCGGTGTTGGCGGCTGTCCGCTTCTGGCCGCGGACGATGATCAATCTGTCAAAAATGACACCCTACCGACGTGACAGAGCTGGGAGGTGTCAAACCTCACCATTGTCAGATAGGAAGAGTGGAGGTTGTTGTGCGGTCGTGTGTGGAGGTCTCAAATACGATTGGTTTGTTTGTGCACTTCGGTCCCGGATTGGTGGCCAGTGTGAACTATTTTTCTGTCACCGTCCGTATGCGTGGCCTGGTGAAGTTTTCCATCGTCAATCACAGCGTGCGTTACTGCAGCGTGCGTCAAGGAAGTAGAGTTTCGATGAATGCCCAACAGGTGGCACGAGTAGTGAACGCCTGCAGCTAGGCTGTTCCGCAACGCATTCCCAAAAGCGTATGATTTGCGGCTGCGTGAATGGTTTTGTTTGATCTAGTTTAGCGTCAAGTTGTAATATCTTTGCTGCTAAGACATTGATCAATGATTGATGATGCATGCCTGGAACTATGATAAGCAAATTCTTTCATTCTTCTTTCTCGTTCATGGTTGCATCAGAATAGCTTCTTACCAGATTGCTGGAATTTGATAATCCCAGTCGCTGACTTGTCTAAATCCCGGTCACCCTGCTCCAGCTAAAGGAATATCATCATCATATCGAATCGTAATAGCTTATTATCGTATCTAATAACATCGTTTGTCGTTTTTCAGAGCTGTGCAACACTGAAAACATCCCGGAGGTGGAGATCGTCAGCCTGGTGGAGGAGCAGATTCCACGCTACCGACTCCGGGCCGACACTCTCACCGAATTCAAAGGTACGGTATACGGCACTCATTCAGAGTTGTGCGACACACACTCACCGAGTTCAAAGGTACGGTATACGGCACTCACTCAGATGTGTTTCACACTCTCACCGAATTCAAATGTTCTACAAGGTCAAGTCAAGGTAGACACCGAGTGTAATGGTCCGGATTTATTGTTGCCTTTTGAGGAAACAAACACGCTTAGCACTCGATATGCACGAATCGTGCCTGTTCAGTGCTCACGCTTCGCGATGGACAACTCAAGCCGGGTGATCCAGGCAAAGAGTAATCGCTGTTTTCATGGCACTGGATGGTGTGTTATTGAGTTGTTTTGCTACAAGATTTCTGAGCTGGTGAGGTGGTGATGTATCAAGCCTCCCGTTTGTATTGTATGCTGCATAGTTTCGGTTGAAGTGTTTCTGGCAAGCCAGCTCGCACTCCTCCACGAGGTGCACACGTGGACGTGTATCCTCTTTCTCGGCTGCTCGTTAGCCGTACGCCTTTGATGTTAATCGATTCAGTGAGATTGACTTCTGCGGGTATGCTATCCATACTTCTCTGTTGGCGATGAACGACACTCCAGTCCGGGACGTCGAATGGGCCCTGAGTGATGCAATCCCCACAACCACACCAGCTGGGTGGGTGGGACGGTGGGAGGCCACCTGGCCCGGCTCCCAGCGTCCATCCGAAACTTGCCAACGAGGCCGGGGTGGCCCTCTCCCCCTCTCCCTGTCGGTGTTTCACGGGACGCTGCTATCACGCTGCTATCAAATTGCGCGAGCTGACGTCACACTTGTGGTAGTGTTGGAGCAATGGGCCTGTTGATGTTTCCATGGAAACCCAATTTGACACGTGTAAAAGCAGCGTGCTGCTATCACCGGTGAAACAGGGCCCCTGTCTCTGACGGCCCCTCGCCTGACCGTTACACCGGCCACCGCGGCGTGGCGCCTCCCCTGCACGGTGCTGCCACCTGCCTAACATCGTACTGGGATCAGATGGGGCGGGATAGCGTCATATCGTTCTGGGATAAGATGGGATGGGACCAGCGCTACGAACTGGGATCAAATGGGACGGCTCAGCGTTTTGTCGTGTTGGGATCAAATGTGACGGGTTGGGTGGGGAGCAGGTGGGGCGCACATTTGGCAGACACGCGGGAGTGAAAGTGAACGACCAGGCCTGAACGGTGCGAGGTAATAGGGCATTACGGAGTTGTTTTGGTTGGCGCACAGATGTTAGGTTTTCTAACTGAGTGAGGCGAGTCGATAGAGTTCGGAGAATTATTGGGTGGTTTGTTGTCAGAACCATTACCAAGCACGCTGGATCTGAGATGCATGAGTTTTTCCTGACTGATGAAGTTTTCATGCTTTGATTATTATTATTTCATGTTTTTGCTGAAACGGTAATTGCTAGGGTTGCGAGTCTGGAAAGTTAGATTTTCTCCACTTTGCTGCAAAACTAATGGCCGGCATCTTGGGGAGCGAGAGAAGGTTAGAATCAGCTGAGTCTGCAGAATTCAGCTGACTGCTACCGGCCGCTCAGCTGAGTGCTGTCTGCGATCGACCCGTGCATGTCTGAAAGCAGTATGGAGGCTCGGACACATAGCCGTTCTGGGTCCGCCACATTCGGAGCAGTTTCTCAACAAGTAGAGGAATCAATGGAAAAATAATTATACTGCTAAGTGCTAGCACCTTTGTTTTGTTCGTAGAGCTTGTCTCGCTTATTGTTTTGGGGAACCAAATTGGTGTTGAGCATGTTTTTTACTTTCCTAAAGCATACATTTAATGCCCCAAAATTGTATTTTGGTTTGGGTGTCGGAGGGGAATATTCTTTGCTTAAAAGGGGATGAGAGTGGAAAATTGCAGGTCAAATAACGGGCCCAAAAAGGGTGGGAAAGGGACCAAGAGCATACAATGTTTTACAGGTGTATTAGAATGCAGGTCTAGGATGTAAAGCGAACATCCTACGCAAATGTTTTTCTCGGAAAAATGGGAGTGCAAAATTGTTCCTAAAAAGAAATTGGAGATGAGAGTTAAAAATGGGTTTCATTTGGATGTCGTTTCCCGCCCAAATCGACAACTGGATAAATTTAGTCGTAGCGTCGGTCAAACCTTTTCCAATCTTTTACTAATCACTTGATAACTCAATATCATATTACCTTGGCTTTCGTTTGTTGGCCCTGCCCCTATCACTAGTCACCATCGAATTCTTGAAAGTGAACCTCCATCAAGCAGTGGCAGTGTCGGTCAATGGCGACGGCTTCCCATATCAAACTGTAGAAGACCATGCTGAGGTTTGACTTTTCGATCCGGCGCGGCTAGTCCCATACATCAGAGCGACCCCCAGACGGGGTCAGGGCTGAGTGGGACGGACAGGACGGACAGGTCACGTCACCGCCGGCCCAGTTGGCCGCCGCGCAGGTCGTGTCAGGGCTTGGCCGAAATGGAGCTGCCTACGGCCGAGTTATGAATGGACGGCTGTGACCCTCTGGATGAATCTGACAGGCTGTCAGCGATGCCGCCACTGCCACTGCCACTGTCACTGTCTCTGTCTCTGACATCGCCACAGCGTCTTTCACTGCTACCGCTCGCTACCCCCTTTAAATTAAGCTCTCTTACTCTGTGATGTCAATACATTTTTTAACTGATGTATCCTATGAGGTGTTCAGCAGCCAGTTTGCAAACAGAGCTAGAAGATGCAGCACTGTAAAAGTGTGACCTGTTGCTCCAGTACCAGGATATGCGTCCCCCTGTCCATTCGCCAAGGGCGCTCTTCCAGTTCTGCCGGAGTTCTATACCTAGCCTTGGTTCTGCCATAGTGTAATAAATAACACTATGGTTATTTATTACACTTTGGTTCTGCCAAGCTTTGGTATTATTTCTTGTTTACTTCGTTGACTATTTTCTTCCAACTTGAGGTGATATTTCCACTTTTGCACACTTTATCGTGCTTATTTCGGGGTCAGGATTTTTGCCTCGAGTTTTCGTCCTTTGGTCGTCATTTTTGTCGAGCAGCTAAACTATAGTTGGCATGCATGTCTTGCATATTTGATCTAAATCCTATCATTTTTGCTTTTATTTGTTTCGACTCAATTAAATTCAGTGTTCTCGCGCCTGCCATTCCATCCTCCAGTCAGCTCCGCTTCGTCATCTGTCGAATAAAACGGTAAGCCTTAGTTCGTTCGCCGCCCGCAAGATGGAAGGAGCGCTGCGAATGGCGCCCGTCCCAGCCGACGCGGCACGGCGCAGTAGCCGGGCATGCTCCCAGGATCGATCGTCGGTTAGACCGCTGAGCTGGCCATTTGTGCCCCGCCGTGTGTCAGAGAGCGCGAGTTTTAGGCTGTGAGGAGTGGCTCGTCGGACCAGAGCGGTGTTTTAGGCTCCCGAGGCTGTCCCGGCCGGTGAGTGAGGTGAGGGAAGGGTCGGGGGATGGGGCTCGTGTTGATGGCTATCAGCTGATTGCTTGGACAAAGACGCCGGCTATGCCAAGATACCTATAAGAAACAGGTAGGTCCGATGTTTTGAGTAAAGCCCAAGTAAAGCCCTGGTGACGTCACTGACATTTCTTATATGGAGAATTTCGCCCATAAGGAAAATATTTTACATACGAAAATTTGTATTTCATTAGGAAAAAATACATTCTATCAATTTCATCATGAAACTTATATAATTTAATTAAAAAACTTGAAATCCTTTGAGTGCTTGTCCCAGCCCCTGCTATACCTTTGGTCACGTGACTACCATGATAAACTTTGCGTTTTGCAATGTTATGACTTAAACAGAAGCAATAAATGTTACAAGCGTATTATTTATGATGTTTTAGGCAGCAATCGTGTAATAACATCCTTGAATTATATACATTCTGCTTAAAAGAGGTCACGTGATGCTACCAGATTGTGCTCGGACAGCATTTTCTTAAACTTCGATTTTGAGTACTTTTTACCTTCATTGAGTCCTAATAACGGACGTTTTTAGTTATAAAATGAAGCAATGAATCTATTGAGGGCAAAATTTAATCATTTTTGCACTTTCAAGCCGGGCTATCCTGGCATGAACTTCGGCCGGTTTGTGTGTGAAGCCTATGGTGAAGGGAAAACTTCACGCCCGGCTGACGTCACAGACCTCGGCTACCAAATCGTGTCCGGTGGGGGTCGGGCTATGCCGCCGGCGCCGCCTCAGGGCAGCCGGACGGTGTGGTCCTGGGACCGTGCGGTACGGTCGCATGCTGTGGTCTGGGGACATGATGCCGGACTGTGGTCTGAGGACCATGCCGGACGGTATTGCTCTAAGGACCGTGTTGATGGTATGGTATGGTCCAGGGATCGTGGGATGAGGTGTCATCCGTCATAGGACTAGGTTGGCATGCACCTTTGGGGCTGGTCTCGCTCCCCTAAGGTCTGGCAAGCCACTGATATTCACTTTGACCTGGACAGAACAGACTCATACCCAATCCATGGGAAGCGCTTTCTTTCCATCGCACAGTGGGGATTTTTCCGATCTAGCACGTATTTATTCGTAGAGGGCAAACCATAGGTAGAATTGTAGCCAGATTGTGCACAGATGTTGGCTGGTGTTTCCTGGTGAGAATTTTACCTGTAAATGTGCATAATCAACATAGTATAGGGGGTTCAATTGGACCCCCCGCTCAGCCGTTTGGCCCCTGATCAAGCTAGAGCGTCGCGGAAAAGTCAAGCGTGCTGCCTATGACGAAATTAGGCCGAATATATCCAATTTCAAAGTCCAAGGTCATAAGCTGACTTTCCAAGTCAGTTTAATGACCCAACTAAAGTTGGGAAATCGAGACCTCTTGAAACTTCGCAACGTTAGGGTGTTACGGGGTATTTTGGGGTGCTGATCACGAATTTCATGTAAGTTTTGATCACAGACGATGTCTTTATGCATTTAGGCCAGGTCGGGTCAGGTCAGGTTAGATCAACTATTAGGCGTCCTGCCGGTCATCCATAGAAGTGTCACCTACTACTGATAGCTTCGTAACATGGAACGAAGGCACTAGAA